AATGAGAAAAAGGAAGCATGGAAACAATTCCTAGAAACAGTGGGAAGAGGTCCTGGGAAGACTCAAGTACCAACTGTGACACACTGGGAACTTTCTCCAATCTCTCTTTCAGTTAAAGTCTTTTAATGTGATCAACTTCTATCCTTTGACTTCATTTTATTTGCCTTCTAGAATACCCAGCTTTACTCTACCATGAGAAAAACCTTTTCTTGCTCTTGACCCTTTTCTCTCATTGGTTGAGTTAGGGACTGAGTTGAGATATAATATCCAAGTCTTCATTTTCTAGGCATTAGCTTCTCAGTAGCACAGGATAAGGTTTTTCATTTTCATAAGCAAACTTTACTATTAATGATTGGAAATTAATTACATGCCAGTGTATCAATATATCTCTAAGACCATATTTTATAATGATCATTAAATCAACAAAGTATAGACATCTGCCAAACCAGTTTAAGCACCACAGATCAATCACAGTGATTTCTGTTTTTCCTCATTTCAACCACCTGTTCTTCTCTGTGGACTGTGGTTACTATCATCATTTCTTTTCTGTCCACTTTATGCCAGTTTGGCACACTGCTCTCCTGCTAAGCTGCATCCTTGAATGTCACCAGTTATTTCCTTATGTAAAAAAAAATCTTTCTGGATTGTGGACATTTTGGTGGTGGGTGTGGTGTGGTAATGTGGTTCAAGAGGTATGAATCTAGTGCCTTAAATCATATACACAATTGTAAGCCAATGATACTGCAATTAAAAAAATAAAGATACAGAGGGAAAAAAACTTGTGAAAATAGTCACCTTTTACTCTCAAGCTTGCTCTTTTCTTAAACATGTTACGTGTATGTATTGGATGATTTCCTTCACCACTTCTTTTTTTATATATATTTTTAAGATTTTTTAATTTATTTATACAAGAGCTGCGGTACAGGCCAGAGGCATGGGAGGGTGATAGGATTCACCAGAGACAGAGCGGGGAGCAGAACAGGCAGACAGATCGAAAGCACTGCTGAGGGGAAGCAGTGGGCGAGACAGGAGAGGTCTTCCACGCCATGTGGTTATCTCCCTGGCCAGTCAGGGATTGAACCCTTACTGCAGAGGCTGCAGGCAGCTTCATAGCACTGTGCTCAATCTGCTGCGCCACCAGGGAGGCCTCCTTCACCACTTCTCCCTATTCTCAAATTACTTCTTTCTAAAACTGTAGCTGAAATCTTCATTCTACTCTAGAAGAACTTTATCTCAAACTGGATGACTTTGGTTAGAAAAGCTTTATCTTCAACTGCATGAGCTTGACTTGCTAAATTTTGGGCAAGTCATTCAATGGTAAGTTGAGGCTCTATCTTATGTTAAGTCATATCTTTCGGTCAGGGACTTCATTCTTTTACACTGGACTATATCTTTGAATGATGATGGTCCCTCTACTGAAAAGAAACAGGGTCTTTATTGCGTGTGAATTTTTATTGCGTGCCTAAAATTTTTATTGTTTTATACTTGATGCACATATATCAGAAGGATAATTGGATTTTAGAAATCTCATTTTTTGATAATGATTCTCGCCATCTGGTTCTCTGGGTATAAGAGGTAGGGGTGTGTGTGTGTGTGTGTGTGTGTGTGTGTGTGTGTGTGTGTGTGAAATTTTGCTAGAAGTGATCTAAGTTGTAACTTTGTCCAATCTATCTTCTCTTACCTTAGAAGGAAGAGAGCCAAGCTCCTGAATTTTGCCATAAGGGCCTTTCTTTTGAGCCCTCAGCAACAATATCCTGCAATAGTCATAGACTGTCTACTTGCATATGGTTACATTTTCAAATATTTCTCAACTCTATGTATATTCATCATGGAGTTACTTATTTTTGGAATTGAGTATCCTCTAAATAGGGCATCAAGTTTATTATTAGAAGTACTTCCTCTTTGCCCTTCTTTGTTTAATATGACAAAAGTTTATATCTTTAAAATTTTCCATAAGTTTTACTCACTGACATAGTAATGGGACTTGGATTATGTTCATATAAATAAGAAACAATAAGTTGACAAAAGGGAAAACAGTTACAGATAGTTGATCTAGATTTGTGATACTGAATAACTAGTTTGGTAGTAGTATAGCTATTCTTAATTCATTCAATTATCATTGTAAAGTATGAGTTTAGATATCTACCAGCTCATAATTAATTTCTAATTCATTACCCTGCCTTTGTGACAATTTTCCTTTAGAAACTTTCCAATAGAAATGAAAGCTTGAAAAATGAGTATTAGCTAGTTTAAATAACAGAAATCCCATATGAAGGAAATAGAGCCAATTTATATAATGAGGCTGTAACTCATTTAACTTTAAAAGACTGTACAACATTTGGGCTTTGAATTCTTAAGAATACAGTTTAGACTTGCAGATGGAAAAAGAAAAATATCGGATGGTTTCACTTACAGGAGGAATATAGGGGAACCAAATAAGACATCCAGGGGAAAAATAATAGCAATACAAAACACAACACAACAAAACAAAAACAAACAGACAATTATAAACCAGAGACATCCTGCAGGGGAGGAAGAAGGAGAGGGATCAGAGGGAGGGAGAGGAGCATAGGGGACTGAGGTGATGATGCACAGGTGCATTGGTGAAGGAAATTCTATGGGGACTACACCTGAGAAAAGAAAGCAAACACTGTTTAAAAATGAACAATGATGTAAAATATATATAAATAAATAAATTTAAAGAAAGAACATAGTTTAGACTTGGACCTGGTAGTAAATACCCACATTTATAGTCGTTGTGTGTAATAATTATGCTAGTAGAATAGGTAAGGTGTGAGTTTTTAATAGTAATAGAGAAAAAATATGTAACACATATTTACCCACTTAGTGAACTGTAATTCCTATGTAACTGTTAATAACAACATTTGTTGTTTTAACTACCTCTGTGTGAAACGTTGCCTCTCCATTGCTAATGTCAGAAGCATGCAGTCCATAGCAGGTTGTATCAGTCGGAATCCAGACAGGAAATAAATGGCTCACTTAAACTGAGTAATGGAGGAGAGTTTAATGAAAGGATTGTTTACAAAGATGTAGGCATGGCAGACAAGGTCAAAGTGAACCAGCAAAGAATGATGAAGTGCTGCAGCGGGAGTCATTACCTTCATAGGCATGAAGCAGCAAGAGAAGAGAGCAGCTACCAGAACAGGTTGGGGAGTGGGTGAGAGGAGAGAGGGCAGAGAGAGCTCACATGCAACTCTAAGAGTCTATCTGACAGGTCTCGAGTTGCCTCTGGCAGAGGGGAAGAATGAAACCAAGAGATCATGGTCTCTGCCTTGTTTTGATTTCCTACTAGTACTTCCCATTGGCTGAACCCAACTGGAACAAGAAGACAACACAGCCCATTAATGTAATTCAGCCTCTGGAACATAGAACAGAGAAGCGAAGGTTGGGGAGTGAATCTGCTATGAAGATGCAAGTGAAACTATCCAATTTGCAAGCTAAATTTGATCTTAGTTCCCTACTTCAATTCATTTTGGTGTCAGTAACTTTAATTGACCCAGATATCCACCTTAAATTATTTCTAGACGTAAAGTTCAAATAGTGTTTTGCACTGTGAGGGTGCTGCATTTCTTAGACAATTGTGAAGAAGGTGGTTGCACTAATGCTTCTCAGATGCCCAATTTCTTTAGGTTACTTGTCACGATTACAGAATCCAAACCTTCTGTATCGCAGACCTTCTGAGTCAGCACCTCTGGGGCTGGACTGTGAGAATCTGTGTTTTATTATCTGCATACTCCATCCCCCCAGGTGGTGGTTCTGGTGCACATTCATGCAGGAGAAGCTTTACTCAACCCTGGAGGAAAGGTCTTGAAGCTGTCTGGGGACTTGTGATCTTGCCATGGGCCTGAGTCATCAACAACCTTAAGTTTGTAAATGATATTTGTAAATATTCAGTTTTATGTTTTAATTTTTTATGACTTGTAGACTTTCCCCTGGGGAGATGTTTCATTTTCTTCTGCTGTTTTAGATTGCAGGGTCTTATTCACTTGATTAATTTTTAATCGGAGACTCATGCTAAGCTATTTCCAGACTATGAGAGGAGACAGTGTTTTACTGCTTTCCATCTGGAATTCTGATTAATGCACTTTCTCTGTGGTCCCTGTGGACCACCAATTTTCTCATCCTCCAATTATATTCATTCTATTGAGCGGGAGGCAGAAATTTGGGGAGAGGTAGGCACAGCTGAGCAACACTGAGCTATGCTGGATGGTAGATTGTTAAAGCCTTCTTTTGCATTTCCCTTAAATATGAATTTACTTGTGTGTTTCCATGGACTAATCCAATATAGTTCTCTTTGTTTTCAAAATCACTAACTTTTATTGGAAGTTTTCCTGCTCTAAAAATCAATCATTTAACTCCATCAAAGGCCTCTGCTAAAACTTCCTAATGTGCATCCCAGGCTAGAAAATGATGGTCAGAGTCATTTTGGTTAGCTGGTTATGCTGACTTTTCTATTATGGTGTGTGAGTGAATCCTGTGAGTCATTTTTCTACCACATCTTACTGTAACTCCACAAATGAAACTGAGAATGGTCGACAGACCTCTCACAAAGTTCACCAGGTAGGCTCACTGTTTCTCCTTGTGAGTCAGGTTTTGAGTTTTTATATAAAGCTGCATGGAAATTTTAAATACAAAAGAAGCATCACACACGAGTTCCCAGAAGGACGGTGTGCTCATTTTCTACTGCTGTGCAACAAATTACCATAAAGTTAGGGGCTTAATGAATATCATTTATTAGCTCATGTTTCCATAGATCAGGAGTCTGACAGGAGTTTGACTGAGTTCTCTGCTTAGGATCTCAAAAAGGGGAAATCAAGAGGTTGGCTCTGGAAAGCAGGAGATCTCTCCTCTGGAGACTGGGGGCTGGGTGGGGGTGGGGGTGGGGGAATGTGCTTCCACACTCATTCAGGTAGTTGACAGAATTCAATTCTCTGCCATTTCTTTGTTGGCTATTGACTGGAATCTCTCTTTGCTCCTAGGGACTGTTCTCTGGTCTTGCAAGTGGCTCCCCTATCTTCCAGATCAGCTAAGGTACCTCAAATTCATTTTATGATTCAAATCTTTCTTGATTTCACCTTCTGCTACCAACCTGAGGAAATACTTTAAAAAGCTCAGGTCAGACCAAACTATACATCCTCTGTATCTTAAGGTCAATTGCTTTGGGACTTTATATCTAAAAAATATCTTGACATCTGTACATACATTAGTGTTTTACTGAGTAACTAGAAGATAGGAATATTGGGAGTTGATCCTATGTCTTTCCAAATAGACAGGGATATTATTAAAAATAAGGTAATTATTATAATTTATAAATATGTGTATATATATATATATAATCTATGTTATATATCCAGTCAATATTATTCCATTTTAACTGACTGCTGTATTTAGGAAGAATCCTGGTTGTGATAGTATATAATATCATTCATGCATTCATTGTAAGCAAGAAGCCAGAGAACAAAAAAAAATGATTTTTTTTTTACTGAATTTATAAGTACATTAGACTTTTGAATGAAATAACTCAAGTCAAGAATGAAATAACTGAACATGGCGGCGAGGAGACGCTGCGAGTAAGATCTCCCATTAAAAAAAGTTAATAGGGAGGAAAAGCGGCAGGTCCCAGTGAGAACTGAGACAGGGAAGATAAACGGACGACTCCAGCAAACTGCCCGAAGAAGAAAGTTGCCATAAAAGAGGACGAGAAGGGAGGGAAGCGCAGAACCCTGCTCCCCTCCCCCGCCCACAGAGGCGGCACTCTCCGACCGGCAGAGACGAGGGAAACAACAAACCAAAACGCCCAACAAGAAAAACGGATGCAGCAAGTGGGACTGTGAGTGGAAAGGAACTATTTCAGCCACCACACCCCGTGAACGGGAGCTGAGGCGAACCCTGCAGGATCCGCTGCGGAGGTGAGCTCCAGGCGCCAGTAAAGAGAGCCCCGCCCACCAGGAGGAGCCCAGCACCAGCACACAGCCCCAGCCGCCCGGTAAGCTTGCGCGAAAGCGGCGCTGGGATTGCAGCTGCCCAGGGCCCTGCGCCTGCAACCTAGGCTTGCGGGGAGACGGCGGAGGCCCTCCCTGAGTGAGCAGGAACAAGGTGCCCAGGCAGGGGAGCAGGATTCAAAAGGCGCCATTCCCGCGCCACTGATCTGGGCTACAGCCCGCGTCCTGGAACTGAGGGCTTTGGAACTGAGACCCGGGGCACGAAATTAGGGGCGTGGGTTCCCCACGACGGTGGGGCACAAGGCAGACACAGCACCCCAAAGCCGTTGAGGTGTACCCTACCATCCCCGCTCTGCTCCCTGTCCCACGGGGTGGAAAATCAGCTCCCCAAGGGCTCTAGGAGAGATCTCTGGTGCCACCTAGCGACTTGACCCCAGCACAGGCTACTGAAGGAGCTAGTGGCCAGCTGGGGAGTTAGCCCACACCGGGCCCCTTCTGAACAAGTAGTCTGAGCCCACAGGGAGAGCGAGCACCCACAGCCGGGGCAGACCAGGCGCGCAGAATAGTGTGCCTGAGACCAGAAGCGCAGGGAGTGTGTCCCACATCACCATTTTAGAACAGGGACATTTCTTCAGTAAAGACTACCTGCAGAAGGCTTCCTCAGGAGCCAGAGGTGAGCGGGGGAAGTTCGCCCACGCCAGACCCCCTCTGGCCTGCAGTCCAAGCCCAGAGGGGAGCAGGAACCCACCGCCGGGGCAGACCAGGCGCACAGGGGAGTGTGTCCCCACATCGGCATTTTAGAACAGGGACCTTTCTCCAGTAAAGGCTGCTTGAAACTGACAGATGACTCCTGGAAGAACCAGAGGGGAACAGAGAAGCCCACCCAAGATGCCGGCAAGTCCCAACAACACAGTGTCCCAACGCATACGGCAAATTAGAAAACAGACAGTAGGGAGGAGAAGAACCACACGCAACCTAGCAACTCTCCAGAGAAAAAGCACACCACAAAAAGAAAGCCAGCCCCAGATTGCAACGACAATAACTTGGAAGAATTTCTGAGCCTTCCAGAAAGAGAATTTAAAATTGCCGTGATTAAAAAACTGACAGAAGTCATAAAGGAAAACAATGATAAGGGAAAAATAATCAACGATCAGAAGAATGCAATTGAGTCCCTAGAGAGGGAAAACAATGGTCAGAAGAAAGAAATTGAGTCCCTAAAGAGGGAAGTAAAAGAAATGCAGGAGATCAAAGAATTAATGGAAGAACTAAAGAATTCTGGGAAAAGCAATGAAAGCAGAATAGATGAAATGGAAGAACGAATAAGTAATCTTGAAGACACAGAAATAAAAAGAACCAAAACAGAGAAGGAAAGAGAAGTACGAAGGAAAAAGAACGAAGAAAGACTTTGGGAACTATCGGACTCCATGAGGAAAGGAAATATAAGAGTTATAGGAATACCAGAAGGAGAGGAGAGAGATGTAGGAACAGAGAAAATATTCAAAGAGATAATTGAAGAGAACTTCCCAAATGTGAAGAAGGAGCTGAAAATTGATATACAAGAAGCAAGAAGAACACCAAACTTCCACGACGAAAGGAAAAATACAGCAAGACACATAATAGTAAAGCTCCCAAGAATCCAGGACAAGGAAAAAATAATGAAGCTGGCAAGAGGGAAGAAACAGATAACATTCAAAGGAAAACCAATCAGGCTGACATCAGACTTCTCCGAAGAAACACTACGGGCAAGGAGAGAGTGGAGGGACATAGTCAACAGACTCCAAGAAAACAGATGCCAACCAAGAATACTCTATCCCGCAAAGCTCTCCTTCCTCTTTGAAGAAAGAATATGGACCTTCCCAGACAAACAGAAACTCCGGAATTTCATTGCAACTAAACCCCCACTCCAAAAATACTACAAGGAGTTCTAAAGCCAGAACCTCAGAGCGACGAATAACAATGAAAGAAGGCCAAAAAAAAAAAAAAAGTTATTAAAAGAATAAATAAATAAAATCAAAGGAAAGACAAACACAATGGCAAATACAGATGTTAACATATCAATATTAACTCTAAATGTAAATGGACTAAACTCTTCAATAAAAAGACACAGAGTTGCAGCCTGGATTAAGAAACAAAACCCAACCTTTTGCTGTCTCCAGGAAACACATTTAGCTACAAAAGATAAAAATAGGCTCAAAGTTAAAGGATGGAAAACAATCCTACAAGCAAATGGACCAAAAAAGAAAGCAGGAACAGCTATATTTATATCAGATAAAACAGATTTCAAACTCAAAAAGATAAAAAGAGACCCCAATGGTCACTACTTTATGATCAAGGGGACAATACTTCAAGAAGAAATAACACTCATTAACATATACTCACCAAACGAAGGAGCACCAAAATATATCAGACAACTGTTGTCCTCTCTGAAAACAGACATCAGAGAAAACACATACGTAGTGGGAGACTTCAACACACCACTATCAACAATGGATAGATCAACAAGACAAAAAATAAGTAAAGAAACCAAAGCTCTAAATAAAGACCTAGAGCAATTGGGCTTAACAGACATCTATAGAACACTAAACCCCAAAAACGGAGTACACATTTTTCTCAAGCGCACACGGATCATTCTCCAGGATCGATCACATACTGGGGCACAAGACAAACATCAACAGATACACCAAGATTGAAATCATATCAACCATCTTTTCTGACCATGAAGGCATCAAACTAGAAATAAACCATAAAAAGAAGGCAAGGAACTTTCCTACCTCATGGAGATTAAAAACCACACTACTGGAAGACCATTGGACTAATGAGGAGATCAAAGAAGAAATTAAAAAATTTTTTGAATTGAACGACAAGGAGGACACCAATATCCTAAATGTATGGGATGCAGCAAAAGCAGTAATAAGAGGAAAATATATAGCAATAGAAGCTCACATCAAGAAACAAGAAAGAACGCAAAGAAACAACCTAATCTCGAAGCTCAAAGATCTAGAAAAAGAACAACAAGAAAACCCCAAAACCAGTAGAAGAAAAGAAATAATAAAAACCAAAGCAGAAATAAATGAAATTGAAACTAAAAAAACAATCCAAAAGATCAATGAAACCAAGAGCTGGTTCTTTGAAAAAATCAATAAAATAGACAAACCCCTAGCCAGGCTCACAAAGGAAAAAAGGGAGAAAGCACAAATAAACAGGATCATCAATGAAAGAGGAGAAATCACAACGGACACAGCAGAAATCAAAAGAATAATCAGTAACTACTATGAACAGTTATATGGAAACAAGTTTAACAATCTAGAGGAGATGGACAAATTCCTACAACTCTACAACCACCCAAAGCTAGATAAAGAAGAAATAGAACACCTAAACAGACCAATTACAATTAGCGAAATTGAAATGGTAATCAAAAACCTCCCCAAAAACAAAAGCCCAGGACCTGATGGATTTACAAATGAATTCTACCAAACATTCAGAGACGAATTAGTGCCTATCCTTCACAAACTCTTCCAAAAAATTGAGAAGGAAGGGACAATACCAAACACGTTCTATGAAGCCAACATTACACTAATACCAAAACCGAACAAGGACAACACAAAAAAGGAAAACTACAGGCCAATCTCCCTAATGAACACTGATGCAAAAATCCTCAATAAAATTTTAGCTATCAGAATCCAACAATGTATCCATAAGATAATTCACCACGACCAAGTTGGATTCATTCCAGGGGCACAAGGATGGTTTAACATCCGAAAATCAATCAACGTTATCCAACACATCAACAAAAAGAAATATAAAAACCATATGATAATATCAATAGATGCTGAGAAAGCTTTCGACAAAGTGCAAAACCCATTCATGATAAAAGCCCTTGAAGTTCTTGGGATACAAGGAACATACCTCAACATCATAAAGGCCATCTATGACAAGCCAACAGCCAGTATCATTCTCAATGGTGAAAAGCTGAAAGCAATTCCATTAAGATCTGGAACAAGACAAGGATGTCCACTCTCACCATTGCTTTTCAATATAATACTGGAAGTCCTAGCCAGGGCAATAAGACAAGAGAAAGACATCCAAGGAATCCAAATAGGAAAAGAAGAAGTCAAACTATCACTATTTGCAGACGATATGATATTATACATAGAGAACCCCAAAAACTCCACAGAAAAGCTAATTCAACTCATCAATCAGTTCAGTAAAGTGGCAGGATACAAAATCAACACGCAAAAGTCAGTAGCCTTCCTATACACAAACAATAAATCTGAAGAAGAAGAAATCGAAAAGACCATCCCTTTTGTTATTGAAACAAAAAAAATCAAATATTTGGGAATAAATCTAACAAAAGAGGTAAAGGACCTATACAAAGAAAACTATAAAACACTGTTAAAAGAAATAGAAGAAGACACAAAGAAATGGAGAGACATCCCCTGCTCATGGATTGGAAGAATAAACATTATTAAAATGGCCATCCTTCCAAAAGCAATATACAGATTCAATGCTATTCCAATCAAAATTTCAATGTCATTCTTCAAAGAAATAGAAAAATTATTGATGAAATTCATATGGAATCACAAAAAACCCCGAATAGCCAAAGCTCTCCTGAAAAAAAAAGAAGGGAATGGAGGCATCAGACTCCCAGACTTCAAACTATACTACAAAGCCATAATCATCAAAACTGCATGGTATTGGAACAAGAACAGACATACAGACCAATGGAATCGAATAGAAAATCCAGAAATAAACCCACAGATTTATGGTCAACTAATCTTTGACAAAGGAGCAAAGACTATGCATTGGAGCAAAGAAAGTTTGTTCAATAAATGGTGCTGGGAAAACTGGGTCGCTACATGCAAAAGAATGAAGCTTGACCACCACCTCACACCATACACAAAAATCAACTCAAAATGGATTAAAGAACTAGACATAAGACCTGAAACCATAAAATATATAGAAGGAAATATAGGCGAAACACTACGTGATTTGCACATCAAAGACATCTTTACAGACACATCACCCAAAGCAGTGATAGTGAAGGCAAAGATAAACAGCTGGGACTATATCAAATTAAAGAGCTTTTGCACAGCAAAAGAGACAATAACAAAAACAAAGAGAAACCCCACCAACTGGGAGAACATTTTTGCACCCAACACTAATGATAAAGGACTGATCACAAAAATCTGCAAAGAGCTGATGAGACTCAACAACAACAAAGAAAATAATCCAGTCAAAAAATGGGCAGAAGAGCTTAAAAGAAACTTCTCTGAAGAGGAAATGCAAATGGCCAACAGGCATATGAAAAAATGTTCAACATCACTTGTCATCAGGGAAATGCAAATCAAAACTACCATGAGATACCATCTTACACCAGTGAGAATGGCACATATTAAAAAAACTAGCAACAACAAATGTTGGCGATGGTGTGGAGAAAAAGGAACTCTTCTGCACTGTTGGTGGGAGTGCAAACTGGTCCAACCACTGTGGAAAGCTGTGTGGAGATTTCTGGACCTACTAAACATAGAGCTTCCATATGACCCAGCAATTCCACTCCTAGGTATTTACCCAAAGGACACAGAAACATCAATTCCAAAGAACACCTGCACCCCTATGTTTATAGCAGCACTGTTTACAATAGCTAAGCTTTGGAAACAACCCAAATGCCCAAAAATAGATGACTGGATCAAGAAGATGTGGTACATATATACCATGGAATATTACTCAGCATTCAAAAAAGATAAACACATGCAATTTGCTGCAACATGGATGGCGCTGGAAGGGATCATGCTCAGCGAAATAAGCCAAAAAGAAAAAGAAAAATACCGGATGGTCTCACTCATAGCAGGAATCTAGAAAACTTAAATAATGGACCAGGAAAATGAAAACTATAAGAAAGTGAAAATCAAAATCAACAAAAAACTATGAACCAGAGACACTTTTAGGGGGGCGGGGGCGGGAGGGGAGGGATTGGGGTCAGAATGGGGGGCGGCAATTGTATGGGGAATATAACAATAAAATTTATAAAAAAAAAAAAAAAAAAAGAATGAAATAACTCAGACAAAGATTTTAGGTCATTTAAATGCTTATTCTCATGTTGAAATCTACTAGTAAATTTCTTATAGTTATCTGCTAGACCTGAAAATCATTCTTTCTTGTCTGTTGCCCACCAATTTTGTGGGAATTTATTTATGTACCAAGATATTGGTAAATATATGTACCAATTTATTTATACCTCACCATTGTGAGGAATTTATTTATGTACCAAGATATCAAATAGAAAAACCCTGTTCTGATTGAATTGCATTATATTTAAAATAGCAAACATTTAGTGCAAAGTCTTGACCAATTCCAGAGGCTAGCTAGCCTTTAAGTAAGAGGTAATTAAAGTTCTTGTTAAATGTATGTAATTATTTCCTTCAACAACATTGAGAGGTGAGTGAATGGAACCTGTTTAGGACAATGTACTTAAAATCAGAGAGAGAGACAGAAGATCGTTTTTATAATAAATAGACTCAAAACAACTGGGTCAAAGATAAACATGTGTATTTGAACTATGGATATGAAGATGTCTGCTGTCAAAGATCTGAGGGATAAACTTTCTAGGACAGCACGCTTAGAAGTTAATAGGCTAGAGATGATTGAGGACCAGTGAGGTTGGAGTGTCTGAATTGAGGGGACAAAGAATAGGATGAGGAGGTAGAGCCAAAATTTTGAAATTTTTTTTTTTAATTAGACTCAGAAATTATGGGAGGGTTTGAAGCAAGTTAGTCATAAAATCTGATTTATGCTTTAATTTTAGTTGAAGTAGCATAGAACTATGAAACTAAGTTCCAGGTAAAAAATCAACATGTGAAAAAAAAATCAACGTGCATATACTACATTAAGTTCACCACTAAAAGTCCAATTCTATTCTTCACCACACAATTGGCCCCCTTTTCCCAGTTTACCTGCTCCTTTTCCCCCTTCCCTTATGGTAACCACTAATTGGTCTTGTAGTCTAAACACTTGTTTGTTTTTTTTCAGGTTACTTGAGCTTTTGGCTTGTCTATGACACCCAGGAGTGAAATCATAAGGTATGTTTCTCTGACTTATTTCACTAAGCATGATACCCTCTAGGTCTGCCCATGTTCTTGCAAATGGCATGATTTCATCTTCTTTTAAATACATAGAACTGATTAGTATCCTATTGTGTAAATTTTTGTGTAATGAATGCACTGTCGGGACAAGGGAAGAAGCATGGGACAGGGACATAGTTCCTCGGGGCCCAGGTGAGAGTCCTTGGTGGCTGATGAAAGAAATGGTTGGGTTTGACATGTATATGCTGGAGTTCAGACTTGGCTGATCTGATTAGCAATTTTAGGGAGGTGGGGGTGGTGGGAGGTGGAGAGGAAGGTTTCAGAAAGACACCAATCCAGGATGTTTTCTCGGGTTAGATCCAAATGACAAGTAGAACATAGTGCCACCTTCTGAGGAATAGGATTTAAGGGTATAGGCTTGGGGGACAGGGAATCAGGAATGGCTGTCCAGTACTTTCAAACCACCACAAAAACTCTGCTAGTAAAAGGAAAGGATGTGACAGAGAAGAGGGTAGAACAAGGATGTAAGAAGATTGGGGCTTTCTTTGATCTCTCCCTGCTATGGTACATAGGTGCAGGAAAGTATGTTCATAACTCTCTTTTCTTTCTTAAGGAGTGGCAAGATTAAATACTTTCAAATGCATATGCACAATAGCTACCCCCAAGAGTTTTGAGCCTCTCTGGTTTCAGTGTTGTACAAGTGCAAATGCTTCCCCAAAAGGTCAAGTAGTTTATCTCCTCCAGAGTGATTTATGTTAGCAGCTCTGGTTGTTTATCTCTTCAGCAACTCTATTGCCAGGAATAGAAAGAAAATTCTGAGACATCTTATTCTTCATTAGGCGACAGGGGAAGTGGCTTAAAGTCCCTGTCTAAGTTATTAATTAACCACTTAACCTCATTCTGTAATAGAATCTAAGGAATTCTTTCTCCTTATCTTATAGGAAAATATTTCATATGAAGAAGACAAAATATCTAGAATAAACAGTATGAGTAGTGTAGGTTATTGAAAAATAGCAATTTTCTCCTACAGTTTAGTTTCCACAAAAGTAATTCAAAGCTTTGAATGCCCATTAGTATTTGTTTATAATTTCATCAACATTTTCATTCACAGGGGTAAAATAAGCTGTCACCAGGGGATAACACTTGAATGCTAGACAAATTACTTCCTTCATTTCACCAAGGACTCTAGATGGTCTTTAGATTGGCATTAATAATATGAGGTATAAGTGAAGTTAGCCAGAATCCTTATCTCTCATACACTGATATGAATTTCATTTTTGTCCCTCTTCACATATTTAACACTTAAAGACTGGCAAGCATTTTTAAACTCCTGCTTTTCTGAAATTTTTGACAGCTGAGAATTTGAGACATTGAAAGGTTTGGAGGGTTTGTCTAAAGTTAAGCCAGAATTAGACTCTGAAGAATCGAAGGTCTTTGTGGGTGAAGAAGTAGAAATTTATTTCCAATGACTGATGCCCCCACTTTCCTTTCTTGCATCAGTCTCCTCAATGACACACTGGGGCCTCACTGTGTACCCTTTCCTGCATTTCTCATTTCAGAAGAATCTGTTTTGGTTAATAAATTCATGACTGAATCAAACTGGTGACAATTTATGATGTTATTCATCCAGGGTAGATTTGAATTTTTAAGGGTAGCTACTCAGAGAAATGCTTAAAGAAAAAAAAAGTCTTTAGCATGGCACTTCTAGTCACGTGGCCTCTGGTTGTGTTGGAGGCAAGGCACATCCTCCTGGTCTCCTTCAGTCATAACAAATCAGAGATTGCCTGCTTTGTCATTGTGAAGACTGGTCTTGGTATAGCTGCATCCATTCTCTAAAGCCTGTGAAGCAATAGGGACCAAAATACCCATCTCACTACTTGTAAGGCTGTTTTCTATAAAATGAAAAGAGCTTTTCTACTTGTGCATTCTCTATTAACTATTATTTACATACATGTATTTGAGAAAAATAGCAAAATGCTGCTTTCTTAGATTCCCCTTTCTGCCATGCCTCTTTCTGTTGGTACCTAAACAAAAGTTGATTAAATGAAAACTACCAACTGGTAGCATGTTGATGACTGAATTCTTTCCTTAGCACCGTGGTTCTCAGACATGAGTGTGTAATGTGTATCAGAATCACCTGAAGAACCTGTTAAAACACGGATAGACCGACCCTACCCTTAGAGTTTACTTCAGTAGGTCAGAATGGGGATTGAGAATGTACATTTCTAACAAGTTCCAGATGCTGCCACTCCTGCTAAGCTAAGGACCACATTTTAAGACCTGCTAACTCAGTTTTTCCTCACTTGAATCTCTGTTGGAGTAGCAAAAAGTGGACTCAGCAGTAACCAGTGCTTTTCACTTTAAACCAAAGGATCTGTAAAGCTTAGCCACTAAATTATTCTCTACCTTAATTTTGTTGAGAACATGTATTTCACATGACTTAACTTTTGAAGAGTTAAGGATAATATACATCAATACGGTGACCCCAATTTGCAATAGTATATTCTGAATAGTACATTCTCCCTCAGTTCAATCACACATATTAATCATGGACTAAGTTTCTCTGATATGTTGGTAACTTGTGTTATTTGTCATTTGGTGTAAAAATGAAGCCACAAATTGACCTTTAGCTGTGTCTTAATTTTTTTTTTTAAAGATTTATTTATTATGCATACAAGAACTGGGGTATAAGCCAGAGGTGTGGAGGGTGAGAGGATTCACCAGAGACAGAGTGGGGAGCAAAACAGGAAGATTGAATGAAACACACTGCTGAGGGGAGCAGTGGGCGAGTCAGGAGAGGTCTGCTGTGCCATGTGGGTGGCTCCCTAGTGGGGGATCAAATTCTTGCTGCAGTGGCTGTGGACAGCTTCATAGGGTGCCACCAGGGAGGCCCCTGTGTCTTAATCTTGAGTAGGTGGATCAAATTATTTGGATCAAATCCCTTGCCTGTTTATACCACACGTTGTTCACATGCAGCTATTTATCACAGGGAATTATATATTTGAACCCAGGTCTTTACCTGTAGACTGTAAGCTCCTCAAGGAAGGACCAACTGATTTTTTGTTTTCTTAGTGCCGATTATAATGCCAAGTATGTGAGAAATGCTTAATAGATGTTGCTGTATGAATGAGGGTTTTATTATTTTTTTACACTTATATGTATTTTCTTTATTTTACATTTTTCTTTTCCAAAATTATGTTCATTATGATTATACTGGTTAACAACACTATATGTTTTAGGGGTATAGGTTCACACTTCTACACGTGTATGCTATCATAACACTCCCACCATCAAAGCCCAAATAATCCTCCATCACAAACCATTGAGCCCACACCCTCTTTTTTTCCTCACTACTTCCCTTTTGATAGTCTTAGTTCTACAGCCAGATTTTAAGTGTTTTGTTTGGGTGTGTTCCTTTTCTTTGTTTTTTTAAATTATTATTTTATTTTGTATAATTCTTACATCATTTTTCATTTTTGCGCAATGTATGCATTTTCATTTTGGTTATAATGAATGAGCTTTTTAAAAAGTTATTGTGAAACAAACATTGATAAACAGCAGCTAGAGGAGGACCTCATTCTATCAACAAGTTTACCATATCCCTTTTGGAATAAATAATAAATGCAAAGTTAACAGATACAATTTATTAATCTTGTGGCTATTTTGAAGTATGAAGAGCTTTTGATGATTGAACTTGTTATGGGTATTAAGGAGGTAACTTTCATCCTAAAACTAATTTATATTCATTGTTGAAGATCTGGAGAATACAAAAAAGAAAACATTTTAAAAATCACCCTTGGTTCATGCCCAAATTCAATAACAAATATAAATATATAGCTAAATTGAATTCCATATCCATTGTTTTTCTCTATGAGAGAAGCATGTTAATTATTTGGTTTTCCCATTTCATAAAGATGAGATTATGTTTAATGTATTATTCTCTTATTTGAATTTTCATTTAATATTTTATATTTTGATTACTCTGGATGCCAAGATGATACATTTACATTTTACTCATCTGCTCATTGTCAGGAGAGAATATTTTCATGATTCACATAGTTTGGGTTCATCAGCAAAGGAAATTGACAAGCTTGAAAATGTTTCCTTTTTCCCAGACTAATTTGCTCCTCCTGGTGAGGGGTGTTATACCTCATGCACTCTGCTTCTATTCAAAGAGTAATAAACGTATGTCCTCCAAACTCTGGAAACATTCCAAAGTTGTAAACTCAGAAATGCATATCTTATCTTCTTCCTGGAGACATTTGTTTATATTCCAGAAGGTAAGAATCTACCATTCTTTTCCTTTTGTTCCCAAGGAGAATTTGTTTATACTGGAGAGCAAAGGTTACTCTCCCTCTTAGAAGAAAGAAGGAGGAGCAACTGTTCCTTTTCTGTACAGATTTTTAGTTACATGGGATTCCTCACCCACAGTATAGACCATTATATATGTGGAGTGATATTGATCAGGTTCTCATTTTAACATTCCAGAAAGGGGAAGAATTGGCACAAGGGAGAATCAGTGTGGTTATTGTAATTCATCATAATCTATCTCTGACCCAGAAATCTTGTGTCTACTTTTAGGATAAGATAAGCAAATATACATTAAAAACTGATCATTTATTTCATAGAATGGCTGTACCTTAGTAATTTAACAATTTTTTTCTTTTGAAAGCACTTCGCTTGTCTGCACTTTTCACAATCACAAATTTGGTTCATTAAATATATTTCTGTAGAACTTATTCCTACAAGTGAAAAAGTTTGTTTAGATAATATATGCATTTAAATTTTCATGAGATGTTATTCAGTGGCACTCCAAAAAGATAACACTTATACTTCCAACTTTGTATATTATAGTTATAACATGAATATATGACATATGCTATGATAATATATATGTATATGAATTTTTTTGGCTATTCTAATTGATGAAAATCATATGACCTTACTATAATAAGCTTTTCTCTCTTTATTGCTGAGGTTAATAATCTTTTCATTTGTTTATTGCTCATGTATATTTCTTTAGCTGTTCATTGCTGACGTTCAGATTTTGTTCATTTTTTCCATTGATGTATCTATTTTTATCCCCATATCATACTCTTTTAATTAGTATTACCTTGTCATACAAGTTTGACATTGGAGAATATGGGAACTATGTAAAGGGAGAGTAGGAACTTTGTGAACGAAGTTCCAACCTACTTCAAACACTACTAGTCAACATAGTCTTAATCTTTTCTTTCCAAATACATTGAGTCCTACACTGATTGATTGAAGGCCCTCTGCAGTGCTCTTCTATGGCCTTTTCTAATATATCTGCATCTCTTCAAGTGAACTATACTCTGTTCTTGAAGTTAAAAAAAATAGAATGCATTCCCTAAAAAAAAATAAAAAGCAAACCCCCAAACAACCAAACCCACCAAATAAAATGTTAGCAAAAGTTCTTATGTTCCCATCTTTCAGGGAGGTTTGTGTATCTGCCTGGCTTTTCTGTAGCTCTCAGAGGATAGACAATAGCAGCCTTCTCTAGTGGCCTAAAGATCTCCATAGTTTCCTCTGGAATCCTTAGCTACTGGTCCCTTCTTCCTCCCATGTCTCATTACTGCTGCCCCCCCTCCCCCAGATGGTTGGTGGCTTCATCTCTTTCTTTCAGGGCTGGCCAGACTAATAGCCCACCACCTTCTAAGCCTAGGAGCCACTTAGCTGGAAAGAGGCATGACCTTTGGATTGGAAGTGAGGCCAATGAATATGAAAATGTAGAGAACAATGTAAATTATCACCTCCCTCCTCCCAAATAATTCACATTTCTCCCTATTTTCTGAGTGTAAAACGACATTTCAATGTGTTAACTTGATTTCTCTACCAGTAAGTTTGGCAATCCTTTTATATGGCCATTCTCTCTCTTTTATTAGCTATTTCATTTTCCTGTTGGGTTGTTTACTCTTTTCCTAATAATTTGTAGTTTTATATGTATTATACATGTATATATTTATGTCATATACATTTATATATATTTATGTCATATGAGTTATAATATATATATAACTATGCATGATATATCATTTATATATTTATATGCTGATGTCTTGTTTTGTGTGGTGTCACTTGTTATACAAAAGATTTTAATGTTAATCTAAGTAGTTTATTTCTTTAAAGGAAATAAAATTGTATCTACTATCTCTAATTCCTAAGAAAATGTTGAAAGTGGAAAAATTGATGATTCACTTCTTTATGATAATAAATAATAGGTGATATTAATAGGAAAAAACCCAGGAATGTTTTAACATTTTTTTTACTAGCACTTTAAAAAGCTGCTTAAATGTCAATTTGTGCTACATGACAGGCTTTAAAAGAGGCCCACCAAATTAACTGTCAAGGTTATAAATCCTAAGGAAAAAAACCAAATGTTGGGTCACATGAATGTCTGCAGGACTGGGTAATGTTCACTTTAACCACTTTTTAGTTGACAGGAGTAATCTGTAAATGTCAAAACCTCATTATTTACACAACAGGGTGGCTGAGTCATCTTGATATTCAAAGCAAAGGGTTTAAGTATGTTGTGGACCATCTTGCTGCTGTGATATTAATGGGATGCCACATATAGAAGAACAGAATGGAAAACATTGGATCTCATATTTCATCTACTTAGAAAGGGAAATCTCTGGTCACCATAGTAACTGCTTTTACCTGTAAACTCATTATCACTTTGAGGATGGACTCAAAATAATAAAGGTGCCAATAAATGTTAGGGCAGTTTCTCTCATTATTTTTCCTTTCCAAACATTTTCAGATCTTATTGAGTATTTTCTTTTTCCAGATGGACTTTTGAATCAGTTTAATTTATGTATAAAAAAAAATCCCAGTGGGATTTTAGTGTGATATATTAGCTCCTATTAGCTGATAATATAAATGTGGTGTTCTTTAATAATTTAAATACTCCCTTCTGTATTTGTAGATATCTCTTTTATCATTACAGATGCTATTCATTCTTTCTCTTTTAGTCTTAATAAAAGGTTCAAAATTGTTGCCTATTTTATGGGACTTTCAAAGTGCCACTTTCTGATTTTATTGATCAATTTTATAGCTTTGTGTTTTCTATTTCATTTTTAGAAACTTAATCTTTATGAATTCCTTTTTCATCTTTCTTGGGACATATTGTTTTTCCAGCTCCTTGTTCTAAACTATTAACTTTATTTCTTCTTAAAATTATAAATTATATCAAGATCAAGCAAACAAAAGTTACAAAGAAGGCTATATTTCCCACTCAACTTGGACAAATTCTAATATTTTGCCAAATTTGCTTCAGATACATTTTTAAGAAATGAAATATTTCAGATATTGCTTAAGTCTTTTATGTACTCCTCACCAGAAATAACTACTCTCTTAAATTATGTATTCATTATGATTTTATATTGATTAATTTGTATGTGCCCACAAGCAATATATAGTTTATATAAGGAGTTTAAAGTTTACAAACTGAATCATACTGTGTGTAATCTAGGACACACAGTAACTGTGTTGCAAATTGTTCTTGTTTTTACTTAATGCATTGTGTTTAAGAGTTATCTATTAAAATACACGTGGCCTCCGTTTGTAATGTAAGCTACTCTGTAACTTCCTTTGATGAATGAGTCACTATTTATATGATATTATGCTGATGATTTTCAAGGTAAAAATGCTTTATCTGGGATAATACTAAAAGAAACATAACAGTGACCATTAGAAAGAGATATTAGAACTTCAACATTTGGGAGTAGGCAAGCAGCTCTACCACCTTGGTAATCAGTTTTTGACTAAGCTTATTCAGAAATTTTTTTCATGGGGTCCAAATGGAAACCTTTAGATAATATGATTAATACTATTATATTTATTTTTCATTCAATAGCTACAGACTTTATAAAGGCTGCTCTTCCCAAATTAAAATTGGGAAAATAAAAAAAAAATTAAACCAAATTTTCTGAGTTCAGGGTTGGCAAAGTAATAATGGGAAATAGGTTCAACTCTTGTTTGAAGATGATGATCACAGAATTGTCATCCACCTAGTCTCTTAGTTTTCCCCTCTCATCTGTTACATTTAACTGATCACAGTGCAGAACTAAAATATTGAATAGTTTGATGTTTCCTGTTATAAATTTTAATGCAGAATATTTCTATTTCCTCTTTAGTATAAAAATTGCCTTTTGATGGATTTTGATTTAGGTCAGAAACCTCAATTTAAAAATAGGGGGATCTCTTCATCCGATTTAAGGCATTTGAAGCTACAGTAAAGCCCTTGAAATTGGTAGCTTTACATATTGTTTTACAGAAACCTCATTCTACAAGCTTGACCTAAGCTGGATGGTTTCTCTGCAGCATGGCATCAAATCTTTCATTAAAAGCAATCTGCAGTGTTTCCTCGTCAAAGTTATACATGTGTTTATTTTAAGATCTCAGAACAACTATTTATTCCTAGGCATTTTGTACTCAAACAAATATATAGGATCATTAAGAATGGATGATTCTTTTTTTTTTTAACTTTAGACATGTTGTTATATAGACAAAAAAGTGCCATATGTATGTTGTTAAATCTAAGACTAAGAAGAAATGGTTGACACATTGAGAATGAATTATAACATTTTGAAATATGTTATCAAAATAAGTTTTAGATTTAAAATTAGAACTTCAAAGGAAAAGCTAGACTTCAAAGGAGAGGGTCAAAGAGTTTGATGCAAATCTCTGTCATTCATAAGTGTTCCTCAGAGGAGATACCAGTGGGTGAGGAATGGAGAGAAGGTACATTTTTTTGGGTACAAGGCTGGACTTGGGGAAACTCAGGTAAATAGCCTGAAGTTTTACCTTACTTCTTTGTGACTTAATCCTAATATTGAAGCAAACTGGTGAAACAAGGCATTCACCATTTATTTAGTTAGTCAGAAAGAATTAAGGGTTTACTCTGGGTCAGGCACTATACTCCTCTCTGAGTGCCCACAAAGGGACCTCTGTCTGAGCCATCCATTCAGTTTGGGTATGACTTTTGTTTTTTAACCTATGTTTTATACATTGGAGTCTTTTTACTACTTTACCTTTCTTTTAGAGATCTGGAACTTGTAATTTGTCTTCTGCTTAAAGAGTGAACGTGTTCTCTCCCTTCTTGAATGCCTTTACAGAGAGGGACCTAGTTAATAACAATAAGAAAGAGCCAGATGGGAAGGACCAGAATGTGGGTGTTTTGCTCCTGGCATCAGGCCAACACTGGAGGACAAATGCAGGTTCATTTGCTGAGATCCTCATCTATTGATTAAAATATTGTAACTAATATCAACAGCACACACTTGGTATAACACTTGTTCTAGGTACAAATAGCATCATACTCATATTTACTTTCTTACTCTATGCCTGCCTAGGTTCTTACTGGAGCTTGCCCTTGTAATTTAATTCAAAATCAAACAAATTCAAATAAGATGGCATGATGTCTTATTAGCCCCATTTTAGAAATGAGGAAACTGAAACATCTAAGATTAGTGATTTGGCCAGGGTCTCACAGTTACAGAATGAAAAGTTCAAATCCAGGTAGTCTGACTTTAGAACCTGTGTTCTTTTAGAATTATATTGATGGAATATTGCATTGTAACAGTATGTAAGTTTCAGGTGTTCTTCACTATGAATCATTTTCTCTATATACTGTGTGAAGTTCACCATTAAAAATTCACAGAATTGGTGCTCTTAACCAGTGTATCACATAGCCCCTCCTTCCTTCCTTCCCCCCAAAATACATATAATGAAAAGACTTCAAATTCCATTAGGGATCTAAACATTTTTACTAGAAAACTTCTAGATCCTAGACTGTTTTCTGTTGGGTGAGGCATGGGCTGAATATAGCTCTGGCTGCAGAGAGTGACTGCAGGGCTGGGATACCCACAGATCTGACAATCTCTGAGTCCCCTTCTCTAAAGCACTCTGTATATTTCTGTCACTGCATTTAGCCATATTAAATTAAAAGTATTTTCTCACGTGTTCTTATCTCCTGCCAGAAAGAACCCTAACCTGTGGAGCATTGTGATGTACAAAAGCCCCAACTGTCTGTCTTTTCATAGTCCTCCATCAACCCCTTTCCTTGTGGGTGTCACAAGGACCCAGTTTAAAGCAAATGAAAGTAAACACTAGCATATCCACATCAAAATCTTCAGCAATGCTTGTTGGACTTACGAGGACAGGAAATTGAGTTGGGGGCTGTGAAGATTCAGGCTTCCGAATTATTTCATGGAGGTATTCAAGGCAACTTTGGTCTTGGTGAACAAGATGTCCTAGCTAGGAAGTGAGATATGTAGGAGAGGAAAAAGCACTGTTCTTGTGTGGAGGAAGTGGAATAGGTGTTTGGAATGGCAGTGTCACCTTTAAGGGGGCCATCAAGTGAGAGATATTTTAGCTGATAAGAAGTCCCATGTTTAAGTCCTGATGGGGGTTACTAAGACAGTATGAAGAGACATTAATGAGCAAAAAGTATTGTGAATATGTAATAAGGGCTCGCACATGTCATAATGTGATCTAAACAAATAGGAAGTAGTGCAGGCATTGCAGGGAGTTGACTCCCTACACAGTTGAGATCAAGGTATGGAAGGTCTTGCTCACCCATGAATGTCTCTAAGAATATGAATTTTGACTCCAAAATCATCTCCATTTCTATTGGTTTATCTTCTGAAACAGTTACTTTTGAGCTGACTTGCCATGAAGATTCATTGCCTTTTCTTAGCTCTTTTCTTCTTTGGCCTTTTACTTGCCACAGGTAAGACTAGCAATCATAAAAGAATAATTTATGCAAATGAGAAGTTTGTAAGAAATTATACAGCAACTATCTGTTGGCATTTGTAGGTGCTCAATTATTATTTGTCAAATGAACAAATTCATTTCTCTACAAATTTTATAATTTTAAATTAGAATTTGGAGAATCCCAGTATTATCTTTCATACCAAATTTCTCATCTCAGATATGAGGTAGAATCTTAGGTTATTTCCAAGAGAGGGACTTTAAAGATTATTTCTTATGCCTACTTGGTTTACAGAGAATGATTCTGAGACCTTGCGTGGAGGTTTACCATGCAAATTTTATTTCCATTCTCTCGTTTTTTTTGGCCTATCATAAGGAAAATACCAATAGCATCAATTTCATAGAGCTTTATTGTGAGTCTGAAATGTTACTTTCAGACTTTGTTACTCCTTCAGTACTCAGAAGGAATACTTTTAAGAAGTATTTGACAATAGCAAATACTCAAGAAAAGTTAATTATTATAACATTACCATAATTTACCTCCCCTTTAGTTTATCCCTTTTAGCAGATTTTCCTTTCAGTTCAGAATATCCTCAATCAGAAAAGCTCTGTAGTTATTGAAGTTTATTTTTAGAACTTCAGGAGCTCTTGAAGTAATTAGGCCCTGATAGGGTTAAGAATGGAAAGGAAGAGACAGAGGAGAAAGAAATATCAGGAAAATACAAACATTGATGGTGTGAAGCTGAAAATAGGGCTATCAGTGAGGGCAGGGGGATTAAGATGAATGATTTAGACAGTTCTCGTGCCATTAATAAAAATATGAATTCAGGAAAGTGATCTGGCTTAGAGATGAAGCCAGTTGAATTCATTTTAGAAATGGTAATTTTGAAGTGACAATAAGACAGTCAAGTGGAAATAATCTAGTAGACAGACAAATAAAATGAGACTAGGACAAAGCTTGCGGCTGAAGATAAACATTGTGGGACTTTTCAATGAAGTATGACAAGTATGATTTGAAATTATGTGAACAGGCTACAAATCTAAGTGTAACTGTCCCTCCCTCTCTCTTTCTCTCAGGCATTTTATGTTCTGGGCATGGTAAGGATGAATGCTATGTATTAATGGGGGACAAAGGTGACACAGGAAACTACCTTTCTCTCTTTTCATTTATCATCCTTTTCCCTTCCTTCCACCTCCTCCTTTTATTCTTCTCTCTTCCATCTTGCTTTATCATTCTATATTTTTTCTTGTTCCTGAACATATTAAAATGCTTCAAAATGTTACACAATAATTTTTTAAGCTATTTAGCTTAAATGAATAGGAAGATTCAGGCAGAGGAAAATCAGCTTAGAGAAAGGTAATTTGGGGCAGTGGTGTATGGTATTCCCAAATTGTCCCTGGTGAGGTGGCTAAAAGTGAAGGGTAAAGGAAGTCCTTGACATGGATTTCAATTAGGAATAGAGTGGCCTTGACAGCTTGCTGAGAAACTGCACTTACTCTCTATATACCTGCTGCGCTCACCTGCCTGGAACAGCAGGACATCTAGTGTGGTGTGCTCTTCTAGAAAGTCCAGCTCTGGCTTTTCTCCTAGGTTGTTCAGTAATACTGCGCTTATTCTAAAAGGAGGTCACTTGGTTTTCTACACCAAGTCAGAAGTACCTGCAGTTCCTGTCAGTTCCTTCTAAAATCTATTTTTAAATCTGATTAAAAACTGTTGTTCCCATAGGCCATTTCACCAATAATTGCATAGATCATTGTATTTGCAGGCTCAGCTAGAACTTTTTGACGATATTGGCAAATAAATGTAGTCCTGATTTTGCTTATTTATCTACTTATTTTTAGGAACAGAAGATACTCATGAGATCACTAGCTTCCCGGACTGTAAAACCCGTAAAATGTGTAAATCTTCAAATGAAAAGGGAAACTGTTCTCAATTTAATGAGGTTGAAGTCTGTGTCTTGCATATTGGAAAAGTTGCAAGGCAACTAAAGAACTAGAAAGAAGACAGGATGATCATCTCCTTTGTCTTATTAAAAAACAGTCTTATCTCTCACTCTTTTTGGGTACAATGAAACATATTTATTGGCAATTTAGATAAAAGTTTATCAAGGAATTACAAAACAGTGGTTTGTTTTTCATGATTAAAATTACAGAGGGACAGCAGTAAGGTTTATAAATGGAAATATTGGCAAGGGATGTGATCAGAAGAACGTTTTTGTTTTCCTGCCTGCTTGTTTCAGAATTCAGGCACTTCCATTGCCTTCTAAGTGGTCTTCTCCAGGGGTGCAGCTCTTTCCCTGGGTCCTGCCCCTTCCCAGGTGAGCCACTGCTGGAAATGCCCGGGAGGGGGACATCAGGATGGCTCCCTTCCAACCAACCCCCATTCTTTCCACTTGCTACTCACCCTTGGGCCCATCCTCAGGGAATCAGATGTCCTTGTCCAGCAGGTGGTGGGCAGGGCAGTGGGCTAAGCTACTGGACACAGTCATCAGTGAGCTGACTGCCCAGTTATCTGGGCAAGATAACTGGCTCTGGGACCTTCTTTGGCTGCCTGCTTCCTGGCTGCCTTGGGGAGGCCTGGTCTGTAGGTAGTATGAGAGGCAGCCTGGAACTGATTCTGCTCTTGCAGCTCTCACAAAGCCTTCCCTGCTCTATGGATCACAGAAAACTGTAACCACATCCCCCTTACCAGTGTCCTGTCTGCTTCAGAAAAGTTGCAAGTGGTACATTCCCCACCACCACTCACAAACAGAAAGAGAGTAACAACAACAAGCAATGGCAAAACAACCAGACAAATGACTACTCAATAATCTATATGAAGTAGGAGGTTGTCATCATTTGTGCGCAGATGAAGAAACTGAGGCACCTAAAAGGTTAAAGAATATTCCTGGGATTGTATAAGTTGTAAGGAAGTGAGGCCAGATTCAAATCCAAGCAGTGCCAGCCATTACCAACTCTCCAAAGAAAACTACTGCAAGTTTAAACACAATTCTGTATTTGAGAATAACTTGATCTTATTTACATAGCAACACCATTTACACTTCCATAATACAAATTCTACAGTTGCTCAAGAAAGCAGGATGACATTTTTTATCAATCAAGTTGACAAAGATCACACTTCATTCTAGAGAAGGGGGAGGAAAGTTGGTATACTCTTTCTGGAAAACTGTCAGTTTGGATCAAGATACTAACCCAATAATTCCACTGCTAGTTTTAACAAGAACTAATGAGAAATATAGATGGAGGTTGGAATAGAATGTATCCCAGTTTATTTATTGCAATTTTCCTCCTTTTAGTTGCTATACCTGAAATTGTAAGTGGAATAGTGAGAAGCAACCTCTGATGTTGATGGCTGTGATGTTCACAGCCAACCTCATGGTAGAAAGTGGAGTTTCCAGAGTCCAACCCATGAGATGGGTTTGATGGGAAGAAGCGGGCAGAGCTGGGACTTTGGGCAGTTAAGCTCCTGGACTTCTGGCAGCTCAGCTGTTGGTATTTTGGTGGTATTATGGTTGGGGCCTTGGCAACGAAATGACTCATGAGGAAGAACATCTGTGGAGAAGCCTATAGCTTGCCATGTAGGGCTTCGGCTTGGAACTTGGTCTCCACTCAGCAGACACTATCTGGGGTAGGACAGAGGACACCTAGACACATGCCAGGCTGTAAATATGTAAACACTCTCTCTCTTTCTCTCTCTTTAGTTCTCCCTTTTCTTACCCCCTAAAAGCTGACACTCTCCATGTGTCAGCTTTTAGAATGCTTGGGTGATGACCTACCAACTGATTCAATCTGGTTGCCCGAGGTTTGCCCTGTTTCAGTATCTGCATGTTGGAGTTCATCACTCTCTCATTCTTCACTCTTTTGCAAATTGTTTCAGTTACCTTCTCTTTGAAAAGATTTGCCAAGTTTCCTCTCCTCCCACAGCATAGTCAACTGAGTGACACTTATACTTGATATCTTAAGGACAGTTCAAATTCAATGGCCCCAAATTCAATTTGTGTTTTTCTACTGGTTCTTTTCCAGGTTTCCTATAAGGGAACAATATTAAAGAGGCTTCATTGCTTCTCATTACTCTTAAAATAAGGTTTAGGCATGGTGGTTACAAGGGTGTAATTTCAATTGTAGAAGCTAGGTAATTTGTTAAACTTCCTTTTTTCTTAAAAATTTTTGTTGAATCTTAATAAAACTTCTAGACACTCTATATGAAGTATAAATATACCAGAATATACAGAATTGAACTTCTCCAACAAAAGGTATGAAAGATACATTATGATTTTTATTGTTGAGTTTGTTCTATTATTATTATCCTGAGAAGTATTGTGTGGTGGACACAAAGTAGAGCTCTTTTGTTTATAACTCAGAAAATCCAGAAAGACAAAATCAGAAACATGTGTCATTAGAAGGCATTCAAAGATTTATGTAGCACTATTCTGTTGGACATGCTTTCCCAAAGAATAGAACAAAATAGAAATCAAAGCAGTAGAAAAGTCAACCCACTCTACTCAAGGAATGCGCACTCTCATGAGGGTAATACACAGTAAGACTTTGTGGTGTTGAGAGCACCAGTTCTCCAGAGCTGTGCTTCTCAACAGCAGCTGAACATTAGACTCAGCTGGGATGCTTAAATAAGTTCGGATGCCTAGGCCATACATCAGATTCTCTGAGGTGTGACTTAGGATGAGCAGTTTCTAAAGTTTCTCAGGTGATTTCAACAGGCAGTCAAGTTGGAGAAA